CTACAGTATACCTGTGAATCTTCTACAATACACCTGTGAAAGTTCTCAACTTGAATGTTCATTAGTTGGGGATTAACTGTATTTATTTGGCAGGAAATACGGTACAAACCATATATGAACTTTTAAAATATGAAGTAGCATTAAAATGTTCATCCTTTTTATTAATATCTTAGTATCCATGAGGGTCTATCATATAGCACTACTATAAGCTATATATAGATTCTAAACTGTATTATATCACCCATACTCGTACATTATATAGTACATCTTTCATTCCTCATAAAAAGTGACTCAGTTGAGCGTGGTGGTGCATGCTTGTAATCCCAGTACTCAGGAGGCTGAGGCAGGAGTTATCTCTGTGAGTTTGAGACCAGCCTGGGCTACATAGTGAGTTCTAGGTCAGTCACAACTACATAGTGAGACCCTGTCTCCAAAAAAAAAAAGTGATTCACATTTTGTTCATTTATGAAAACCCTGTATCTATTATTGAAAATTCACTGTCAATATTATTTTTTAAGAAATTATTGGAATTTTAAATAACTATAAAATCATGCAGTAAATAGAAGTTAAATTAGATTATTTAGATAATTTCAGTCCAGAAAGAGGTCTCAGAAATTAGTCCAGCTATGACTACTCAATCAGCCATGTCTCATGCTGTATCTGTGCCTGGAACTGGGAACTGCTATTGTCAGTGTTTCTTAAATAACCATTTTTGAAATTTTTAAAGAGTTGTGTTATGACTTCCTATTTACAATAGAAATAAAACAATCATCTTTTTTTCTGTGGTAAAATAAGTTTTAAATCATCAGACTTTCCAAGTGGGATTAACTTAGGTATTTGTACAAGATCAAAATGATAGTTTTATCATAGCATGTGCATTTTTATAGGAAACATTATAAAGAAAATGTGTTACTCTTATGTACTGATTTATAAGTAGGATATTTTTTTTTGTAGTTGTAAACAAAAATTTTACCACTATTTTTTTCTAAGTTTTTTTTTTTTTTTAGAAAATAGTTTTAGGGGCCGCACACTTAGTTCAGTGGTTCTACCACCTGCCTCGCAAGCTCAAGGTCCCGAGTTTGATCTCCGGTTCCAAAAAAAGAAAATAGTTTTACTTGTTCCCCTGGGGCTTGTTTAGTTTATTTAGTATCATAAGTTTTGTTTTTATTCAGAAAAAGTATTTTTTTCTTTTAACTAATTTCAGTATAAAACAAACCTCAGTTTTAGCAGTAGTGACAATCCATGAGATTTCCAAAATGGCCTTTTCTCAATACTTGAAACTTGTTAATTTATTTTCCAGTTTCAGCAAATCTGTGGAAACTTTTCTTGTTCCTTTTTATTATATTAACTCTTAATTATAAAATAAGCAGCTGTGGTTTACAAGTGGTGAATACATTTGGCAGTTGTTTTCATGAAGATAGAGAGAGGCATCTTGTAGAAAATTTTCAGGCTGTTCATTTCAGTGGGCTTTTTATCAAGTGGAAAATTATAGAGCACCTGGTACTTTGCTATTTTTTGCCTTTAGCAGATGATGACACATCATAAAATTAAGCAGCAATATATTGTAGGCTATGTACGGCAACTACAGTCTCACATACTACAATTATGTTTAAAATGTCTATAGGTTTTGGCTAATTGAGCTAAATTGGTAGAAAATATTTGGGCGATGACCTTTAGTAAGAGTCATCTAATTTCAAATTTTAAGTTGAAATTTTATTCATGGAATGTCACTGATTAACCCAAAGCAAGATTACAGAAAGAAAATACCATGTTGGCATGATACAGATTTTTCTAAATGAAAAGTAGGCAGGCAAGTCAGCAGGTTCTCTATGAAAGCAGATACCCCATTAAGTTAATAAAAAACTATTTTAGCCTAGATTTGAATTTCACATTTCTAAGCAATACAAGGAAGTATCTTGAGATATGCATTTACATTATAATTTGATTCAGTAAAGTGTAAGCTTTTATTTAGTAGTGTCTGATTACTGTGTATTACTAGGCTTGAAACATCTGTTTCAGATGCTATTTCTAGAACTCTTATATCAACTCTTTAAAATCTTTGAGAAGTCAGATTCTTAAATGAGCTTTTTGATTTATTATTCATGAATCAAGTTTGAAGTTTCATGTCTTTCTGACACTAACCGTCTTAAGGTGATGTTTTTTTCCCCTTTTCAAGAGACTTCCTCCCAAAGTCATATTCTCCTGGACTCTTTGAACTTCATCTCTGACAGCAGAAGACCTTATAACTGGTTAAACTTCACCTACTGAAATAGGGTTGTGTGAAAGACCTGGGTAACAAGAAAGAAAAAAAAACATTTGGGCATAAACGTATGAAATGTTTGCCAATTTTCATTCCCACGGCAATGTGAAATAGGCTGTGTATCTTGAAAGGGAGTATCTTCTTGCCTGTGGGCATGCGGGATGCTTCCTCTGGGTCAGAGTATTGTACCCAGGACCATCTGCCAAAGCAATTTTAAGATACAGCTGGTGAACAAGCTCATTTCTCCTCTGGGAGTTCAGGGGCTCTAGGACATTTTCCAGACTTTTAACAGTCTTTATAATTTCATGTTTATATGCTTCAAGGTAAAATTAGTGTACTAAGTACTATATACAGTCATTGTAGTCACAGGCTTCAAGTCTTGTCCATACAGATTGGAAGTACCACAGGGCAAACATTTGGAGATGTTGGTGCCATTGCAAATGTGAACTCCAAGAACAAATGATTACCCAGTATCTCCAAAGTAAAAAATAACTTTAATAGCCAGCATTTAAAAATCCATTGCCTACTTTGTTCATCAAACATTTAGATCAGGCTGTATCTTAGCCTACCCATTTATAAATACCTTTTGAGAATAAAGTATAAAAGTTTTAAAACCTCATCCAAGAAATATTTTTTTCTCTTAAAAGACAAATCCGGGACACAGTGAGTTGGATTTTCAGTGAGCAAATGCTAGTTTACTACATTAATGTTTTCCGGGATGCTTTTTGGCCAAATGGGAAATTGGCACCACCAGCCAGAATCAGAACCAAAGCTCAAAGCCAAGAAACAAAACAGAGAGCGCAGCAAAAGCTACTCGAAAACATTCCAGGTGAGCCCCAGGTTCTTATAGAGATATAAAGGATAAGTTTAACTGGATTTAGATATTTTTCATTTATAGCTCTCTGAAACCTTGTTTAAAAAAATCATACTTTTTTCTTTTAAGCCATGTTTTAATCACTTGCTAAAAAGTTACACCAAGAATCTTATTATAGTAAGTAGTAATTTTGTTAAGTATTTTAGAGCAAATGATACACTTTGTGCTTTAAAAGATAGGCTAAAATATGTTGTAAATATTTAAGGTTATGTTAAAACTATATTAATTTTAATTGTTAAAACCAGCAGTAGCAATTTATTAAGAATGTAGTTTGCATAAATGCCTCATGTACAAAAATTCTGAGTAAATTTTTCTTTTAAACATTTGACCATTCATGGCCATTTATGTTCCTTAGGTCTCACCTCAGTACCTTTATTTACTGTGTATGTATTGTGTAATATCCCTGTCACTGAATATGCATTGTACATTTTACAAGTATCAACATGGAGTAAAAACAAAACCCAGGGCTGGGGATGTGTCTCAGTAGTAGAGCACTTGCCTAATGTGTGTAAGGTCCTGGGTTTGATACCCAGAATGACAAAATGAAAAACTTATTTTTTTCAGATACACTTCAGAGCCTTCTTGGACAGCAAAATGCCCGCCATGGTATAATAAAAATATTCAAGGCACTACAAGAAACAAGAGCCAATAAGCATCTCTTATATGTGAGTAAATTAAAGCCTCCCAAAGGATGAACTATTTCTTGGATTTTCTATTTCCAGTCACATATTGCAGGAGGTTTTAATGCTCTATATTCTTAATTATATTTATTGCTTACAACTCTGAACCTGTTTTCTGTGCTTCATTTTTGTTTGTTCATTTGGTTAAAAAGAAAAAAACCACACACACATACACACAAATGCAGGATTCTCATTCTTAGATGCTAGTTGACTTTCTTGCCTTCTCATGCAACATTTCTGAATGATGGTTTGGTGCTTTTATTTTGGCAAAGCAAACTTTTACCATCTTCGTTCTGATTATAGTTAGCAGTGTTAAGTATGGTTGGTGGTTTGACGTGGTTACTAGGCCATGAAATAAATGGTTTATATAATAAATGATTTATATGATATTAATTCGTCTAGTCACTTGTTTAGTGAGAATAATCTCAGAATTAAAATTAGACTTTTCTCTTAGACATATTTATTTTCAGATGCTTGGAGAAAACCACAACTTTCTATTTTTTTCTTCTTTTTTTATTCTGTCTCTGTGCAGGTGCTGATGGAACTGCTTATAACTGAGCTGTGTCCTGAGCTGAGAACTCATTTAGATCAACTTAAAGCTGGTCAAGTTTGAGCTGCTCAAATTTGAGCTGCACAAATAAACCACCAGAAAAATGTCTGTGTCGTAATAGACATGAAACATTTTCCTCTTTTCCACAGAGGGCTTGACTGAGAACCATACTGATTTTTATTTTACTTACATCCCTCTAGTTTTATGTGAAATAAGCAGAATTTGGGGGAGTGACTTGATGCTGTATATAGTAGGCAATAGGGAAAAGAACTTCTGTTTATTGATTTTTATTTAAATAATATAAATACTTTAAAGTTCGACATACTTATTGAAATACAAATGTTAATATGTGGTAAGAACCTAGGAAATATTTTAAATATTTATGAAAGCAGCTTTGTTTTAAAATGAAGAACTATGAATATTGTACAGTAATTTCCTCCTTGAGGACTTGAACATTCCTATTATCATTTCATGTGTTTTGAAGAACATTGTTGTGCAATGCTTTGTGTAAAGTTATTGTGAAAATTTTGTCTTTATTTTTACCAAAGATTTCCCATAGTTTGAAGCAATAAAATATAAAAATGAATCACAGTATTCTATGATGTTTAAGATGCTTAAAAAACAACCTGGGCCATTCAAATAATTATGTGTATTTTTCTTTGGCAGAAAAACACTGTCCACTTAAATATTTCAGCAAGGAAGTAAAAAGTTTGCTGCCGCTCACAAGACATAAAATAAACATCTGAAATACATGACTTGTTTAGTGCATGAAAAGAGCCAAATTAGTGCTTTAAAATGAGGTATTAATATGAGCTAAACCTTGAAAGAATGAGACGGAAACAAAGAAGAAGGAAATTACTTCAGGAAGCTTAAGGACTTGGTATATCATCAAGTCTTATAGACTACAAGAGGCATTAGGAGAGGTCCAGAGTGTAGAATTTTTGTTGTTGTTATTGATAGTGAGGCTATAAGCAAGTCACTTAGTTTTCTGGGGCTTCATCTGTTATGTAGTGATAATAAATACCTTCTTCATTTTGGTCTCTAGAAGTACTGAAAATAAAATGGTTAAAAGATTTTAAAAAATCAGTTTGAATTCATAAAAGAAATAATATATTAAAGTATAAAGATTATCTTATTGATAGCTCATACTTGCCAAGTTCTTGGTAAGAAACAAGTTCTGAAAGCTAAATGATTAAAATTTAGTACACCAAATCTTGTCTTTGAGATTCTTCTAAGTAATCGCTCTTTGTAAATAGACATTTGACACTTAAGAATAGCCCATAATTGGCTTTTTATGACCATAAAAATTATCCTTTAAAGGGATATTGAAAAGACCATTTAAAATACATTCAGGGAAGAGAAATAAGGTAAAGGTGCAAAGCCCAAAGAACTCATCATAATAGTTATTGGAAATGTCTGTCTTAAAAGACATTATACTATCATTTAAACTGCAAATGACAAAAATATTCTAACTGCTCAGTATTTCTTTATAATTCTCACTTTTTCATGAGGTCTCAGCTATAATGAATCTTACAGAAGTTTGGATTTTTTTTTTTAGAGTAATCATCTGGAAGCTTCACTTGAGTTGAAGAGTACTTCCAGTCACAGGTTAAAGTTTGCACTGCTGTCTTTAGTGTGGTGGTAGCGGGCAGGTGCCAGATTATCAGTTTTATAGTGTAACTCCAGTAAACAGAAATTAAAAATTCTGTGTTGGGATCACATTTAGGGATAGCATATTTCCATATATTAAATTGCAACGATCAGGATTTCTGAGAGCTGTATTTTATTTACTTTATATTGTTTTTGCTGTACTGAGGATTGAATACAGGGCCTTGTGCATGCTAGGCAAGTGCTCTGCCCCTGAGCTACATCACCAGCCTTGAGATCAAGTAATAAAAGTCTAGTGATAGAAGCAAGCCAGAACATAAAGCAAGAGCAAGTAATTTTCTGCTGTACAGAAGCACTAGTAATTGTCACCTGCGTATTATAATCATACCTTGGTGCTTAACTGCTTTGAAACTTGTTGAATTTAGTACTCAAGACATTTTGACAAAAACATCTTGCCCCAGTGCTCCTCATTGGTTTGGTACTCTATACACAAACCACAATCTGTCAGTGTGGATCGCCCCAGTTGCTTCATGATTTCCTACCTTTCCAGCCCAAACACTTTGTTTAGTACTCATTGTGCTTGGTGCTTGTCTCACCTCCTGGATCCAATTAACAGTGTAAAAAGGTACTATATTTCCATTTTACTACTACTAAGCAGAGACCTTGTGTAAATCCACAAAAAAAGGATATTGTGACTTAATGAAGTAAAGCTGTATCAGCTTAGGGTTAGCTTACCAAAAAAAAAAAAAAAAAAAGAAAATTAAGGTAATTTTAAGACATCAAGGATATAGTAAGGCTGGGGTTGTACCTCAATGCTGCTGAACCTGCCTGACAAGTGCAAGGTCCTGAGTTCAATTTCTGGTATCAAAAAAATAACAATAATAAAAATAAGGTATTGTAATGGTCTTGCTCATGAAATTTAAGGGAAGCCTCGGCAGAGGAACGGTAAGTGGTACAGTGACATGGAGCTTGCCTGGAACTACAAGCCCACCCCCCAGCTGAGGAACAGTGAGAGGAACAGCCACCTGGAGCTTGCCTGGGACCGCAGCACCACCACCATTCTCCCCAGGTCTCTGGCCTCCTTGGCTGGGCTGGTACCTGGATTCTCACCACAGAGGCCACAGGGGGTCATAAAGGCCATTGTTCTGAGCTCCAGCCTCGATTTTGATTTAATTCACATGGTTAAAAGTGATAGATCAATAGCTACCACATACTGTTTTTTTCTAAGCTGTGCTTAATGCTGTTGTGTTGCTGATTATATTACTTGGACTAAGGTGTTGTGCTTCCTTCCTGGTATAATGAAAAAGAAATTGCCTCACAGTCATTAGAGACTCAAAACCTAAAGAGAAGCTATACCAGGGAGATCAAAATAGTAGCCCAGAAATTAAACCAAGGACAGTACGAACAACAAAAATAGTAATGAGAAGCTGGGCATGGTGGTGCACACCTGTACTCCCAGCACTCGGGAGCCTGAGGCAAGAGGAGCCCTGTGAGTTTGAGATGAGCCTGGACTACATAGTGAGTTCCAGGTCATTCTCAACCACACAGTGAGACCCTGTTTCAAAAATAAATGAATAACAAAAACAACAACAACAAAACAAAAATAGAAATGAGAAGACACTCAAGCAAGGCACAAGCACAAACACAGGCTACCTGTTCATTAAAGGCAAATTCTGGGGTAAATTAGGTGGAAAAGTCTGATAACCACCTGGACACCCTGAACTGATGCACAGGAAGTAACAAAACAGATTAATGAGTTTCTAGAAAAATTCAAAACAATTTTTGAGATAACAAATGGTGAGCAGCATAAGAAACATGATTAGAAACTTGAACAGAAACATAAATACATGAGTTCAGGTCCATGATAGAAGCCAACAATGCCCAGCAAAGGAAAGAAATGGAAACCATGAATCCCCACAAAGGAAAGAAATGGAATCCATGAAACATTCAAACAGATATACAGGAGATTTAAAAACCATTGAAAGTATATATAACAGACAGCCAATCTGAAGACAGGATATCAGATATAGGAGACAGGATGTCAGTGACCATGAAAAGAGGGATCTCTTAAAAAAAGGAAACATGAGAAAGCAGTCCAATCGCTCTTAGATGACACAAAGAAGAATAACAGAAGACTGATAGGAGTCTATGAAAAAGTAGGAGAAAGTACAAGTGACATAAAAAAAAAAACTGCTCACAGAACTAATGACAGAAAACTTTCCAAGCAGAACAAAAGAGTTTGACATACAGATATGTGAGGCTCATAGACACCAACTAGCCATGGTCACAAAAAATCTACACCTACACATGTAATAAAATCCTAGAGACTCAACAGAAGAACAAAATACAGGCAGAAAAGAAACAAATCACATGCAAAGAAAAGCCCATCAGAATCACAGTAGACTTTTCAACCAAAACCTCAAGTCAAGGAGAGCCTGGAATGAAGTATTTCAAACCCCAAAAGAAAACAACCTCCAACCTAGACTGATGTATCCTGCAAAACTATCTTTCAAAATTGATGGGGAAATAAGATACTTCCATGACAGAACACCTAAGAAATTTTATGAATAACAAACCAGCACTCTAAACAATTCTAAGTAATATCCTAGAAAAAGACAATGAAGATCACAACTCCAGGAGGCCCAACAAAGCAAATCTAGCAGGCAAGAAATTAAAGGGAAAAGGGGAAGAAATTTAAAAGCCAACAACAGGAAAATAACGATGATGACGTCAATACATATCAGTTATAGCCATCGATGTTAATGGCCTCAATTCACCAATCAAAAGAAATAGACTGGCAGAATGGATTCGGAAGTAAAATCCAACAATATGCTTTATATAAGACACACACCTAGTTCAGAAAGACTCATGGACTGAAAGTAAAAGGTTGGAAAACAGTTCTCCATGTGACAGGAACTTGGAAAAAAAGCAGGGATAGCTATCTTATTTGCAGACAACGTAAATTTCAAACCAAAACTAATTAAGAGAGACAAAGAAGGTCACTACATCCTTGTAAAGGGAACAATCCAAGAGACAGAGATAACAATCATATATGCACCAAATACTAGTGCCCCCAACTATATAAAACAAATATTAAGGGACATGAAAAACCAAATAAGCACTAATGCAATTGTACTGGTGGACCTAAATACCCCACTTTCACAAATAGTTCATCTAGACAAAAAAAAAAAAAAACAAAAAAACAACAAACTACTAGAACTGAACCAACCTTTTCAACAAAGATTTAATAGATGTCTACAGTGTTTCACCCCTTCAAAATCAGAATTACACATTTTTTTCAGCTGCACATGTGTTATTCTCCAAAGTAGACCACATACTAGCTCATAGAACATATTTAAGTAAATGCATAAGAATTGAAGTTATTCAGTGTATATTATTAGACCATAGTGCAATTAAACTGGAGATCAATCGCAAAAGAAATCACAAGAAATTCATAAACACATGGAAATTGAATAACACTCCTGAACAACCAGTGGGTCACAGAGGAAATTAAAGAAGAAATTAGACAGTTTTTTAAAAAATAAATAATGTCAATACAACATATAAGAATCTATGGGACAAAAAGTTCTATGAGGGAAATTTATAGCAGTGAATGCCCATACTAGAAAAACAGAGCAAGCTCAAATAATCTAATGCTCAATCTTAAGCTTTTAGAAAAAGAAGAGCAAGACAAACCCAAAGCTCATACAAGGGAGGAAATTAGATTAGAGCAGAAATCAATTCAATGGAGACTAAGAATAAAATCGATAAACCCTTAGCCAACCTTATAAAAATAAAAACAAAGCTCAAATCCATACAATTAGGAATGAAAAAGATGAAGTCACAACAGATACAGCAGAAATACAGGAGATCATCAATACCTACTTCAAGAACCTGTACCCTAATAAAATGGAAAATACAGAAATGGACAGATTTCTACATACATATGCATTACCAAAGTTGAACGAAAATTAAAAATTCTAAACACCCAATTACAATCAGTGAAATTGAAAATAATAAAAAATTTACCAACAAAGAAAAGCCCAGATCCTGATGGCTTCACTGCTGAATTCTATAAAACATTTAGAAAACGGTTGCCACTACTCTTTAAACTTTTCAGTGAAATTGAAAGGGAAGCAATACTTCCAAACTCATTCCTGGAAGCAAATGTTAGTTTGATTCCAAAACCAGGGAAAGACCCAACCAAAAAAGATAACTACAGGCCAATCTCACTAATGAACACAGATGCAAAAATCCTCAATAAGATAGCAGCAAACAGAATACAGTGGGTCATCAAGAAAATCATACACCGTGACCAAGTTGGATTTATCCCAGGGATACAAAGATGGTTCAACATACGCAAGTCAATAAATGTAATACACTATATTAACAGAATCAAAGACAAAAACCATATGATCTCAAGAGACACAAAAAAGGCATTTGATAAAATTCAACACCCATTCATAATAAAAAATAAAGCTGCAGAAAATTGGAATAGATGGTCTTTATCTCAATTTGATAAAGGCTATGAAAAGCCAACAGGCAACATCATACTAAATGGTCAAAAACTGAAAATCTTCACATTAAAATCAGGAACAAGATAAGGATGTCCACTATCACCATTCCTGTTCAATATAGTTTTGGATACATTAGCCACAGCAATTAGGAGAAAGAAAGAAAAGCAATAAAGATAGAAAAGGAAGAAGTTAAACTGTCATTTTTTTGCTGATGATATGATATTCTACATAGAACACCCAAAAAACTCCACCAAAAGTCTTCTAGACTTAATTGACAGATTCAGTAGGGCAGCTGGATACAAGGTAAAAACACTCAGAAGTCAATAGCCTTCATGTACACAAATAATAAAATCACTGAGAGAGAAATTAGGGAAACAGTCCCTTCCACAATAGCAACCCAAAAAATGAAACATCTAGGGATCAGTGTAAGGAAGGAAGCAAAAGACCTCTACATTGAGAACTACAACACTGAAAGGAGAATGAAGAGGATATTTAAAATGGAAATACATCCTTGTTCCTGGGTAGGAAGAACCAATTCAGTGAAAATGGCCATACTTCCAAAACTGCTATACAGATTCAGTGCAATCCGTATTGAAATCCCAGCAGTATATTTCACTGAATTAGAGAAAACAACACAAAAATTCATTTAAAACCAGAAGAGACCTAGAAGAGCAAACACCATTCTAGGCAACAGACATGGCAGGGGGTGTCACAATCCCCAACTTGAAACTATACTACAAAGCCACTGTGATAAAAACAACATGGGATTGGCAAAGAAACACACTGGAGGATCAGTGGAATAGATTAAAAGATGCAGAAACAACTCTAGACATACTCAGCTACCTCATCTTTGACAAAGGAGCCAAACATCCTCACTAGAGGAAAGATAGCCTCTTTAATAGTGTTGGAAAAACTGGATTTCAACTAGTCAGAGATTAAAACGACCCTTATCTTCCATCATGCACTAAACTAAAATCCAAGTGGATTAAAGATCTAAATATTAAAACAAAAACACTAAACTTGTTGGAGGATAAGCTAGGTAGAACTCTTGAAGACACTGGCATAGGAAAACACTTTATGAACGAATCCTCAGTAGAACAGGTACTAGCACAATCAACAACTGGGATCTCATCTTTTTAGAAAGCTCTGCTCTGCAAGAGAAGCCATCAACAGAACTAAGAGACAACCTACAATGTGGGGAAAAATTTTACCAGCTGTTTTCAGACAAAGGTCTACTGTCTAGAAAATATAAATAACAAAAAAATCAGATTCCCCAAATACTAAGACCCAATTTCAAAATGGGCATCTGAAATGAAAAGACATTTCTCAGACGAAGTAAAAGCAGCAAATGGGTATAAGAAAAATGTCCCACATCACTGATCATTCGAGAGATGCAGATGAAAATAACATTGAGATTCCACCTCCCTCCACAAAGAATGCCTTCTATCAAGCAATCAACCAATAACAAATGCTGGCGGGGTTGGGGGGAAAAAGGAACCCTTCTTCATGGTTGGTGGGAGTGCAGACTGGTGCAACCACTGTGGAAATCGATATGGGAATGCTTTAAACAATGAGGAGTAGAGGTCCCATTTGACCCAGCTATCCCTCTGCTGGGTATCTTCCCAAAAGAATTAAAAGAATCATACCACAGTGATACATGCGCATCCATGTTTATAGTGGCACAGTTTGTAATAACTAAAACTTGGAAGCAGTCTAATTGTCCATCAACTGGAGACTGGATAAAGATGTATTTTTATAAAATGGAGTACTACTCAGCCATAAAGAATGAGAAACTAGAGACATTTATAGCTACGTGGATGCACATTGAGGACATACTCTTGTGAAATTAATGGGATACACATGGAAATACCAAATAGTGTCTCTGGTGTGATAAACTAAAAGTGTAAATAAGAATAAAAATGTATAATTGATACTGTGTTATAGGAAAAAAGGTCTAAAGGTGTAGGGGAACTGGGGTGGGGTAGGGGAAAGGTAAGAAGGGAAAAGAAAAAAGAGAAAAGGAAAAAATGCAAAGTCTTTGTACATAGGGAAGAGTGGAAGGAGTGAAGGGAGGGCAGGACAATGGGGAAAAAATGAGAACCAAGACCTGTCATGTAAAGGTACAAGATCCCAATGATGAAGGGAACTGTAATGTATACCTAATTTGTATCAATAAAGAAAAAAAAAGGGAAGATTTGAAGGAAAAATTTGAAACATTTTCTTAAGGCCACTTTTTAAAAAATTTAAATGAATAACCAATTACTAAAATCTTTTAGCTTAACAACTTCAGAGGTAGAAATGCTATGCACACTTATCAAAACTTATTTGATAGTTCTGAATCTATAAATTCCTTTGACCTTTAATTTTGTGAATTTAAAAAATTTTTACTTTTATTAGTATGTGTTTGCAGTATGTAAAGAGAACATTCATCATGGAGCTTTGGTACTTGTACATAACACGTGTTCTTTTTATGTTTCCTTTTCCTCCCTCCCTTCATCTCTTGTCCCCCTTTCCTACTTTCAAAATATCTATCTCCTGTTTCCTGTTAAAAATGTTTAAAAGAGTGATACAAAAAATTAGAACAGTAGTATGTCATTCAAAATTCATAAAACTGCCAGGCATGGTGGCACTCGCCTGTAATCCCAGCACTTGGGAGGCTGAGGCAGGAGAATCGCTGTGAGTTCGAGACCAGCCTGGGCTACGTAGTGAGTTCCAGGTCAGTCTCAACTACGTAGTGAGACCCTGTCTCAAAACACCCCCCCAAAAAAAACAAAAACAAAAACAAAAAATTCATAAAACTAAGTGCCAAAGATTTTTTGTTTTTTGTACCAGGGATTGAACTCGGGTCCTTGCGCTTGCAAGGCAGGCCACTGAACCAGAGTTAAATCCCCGGCCCTGCCAAAGAAATTTTTAAAGTTAAACTTTCAGATGATGTTTTAAATAAGTTTGTAGAATTTATACTTTGAGACTTAAACTAAAATTGTGCTACATCTTGTCAGGCATTCTGTGTTTAAGAAATGAAAATGATATTTCCTTTATGAATGGTTTCAAATTTAATATAGTCTAGGCACTGGATAAGCCAGGAAATGGATCTCTGAGGACTCTTTAGCAATCTGATCCTGTGGTTACACTTCAGGTTACAAAATTTACAGCACACAAATTCAAGAACAAAGGTAATATATCATCTAATAAATACCTAGGATAAGGAAACTTGGAAATTAGGCAATAACAGCCAGATGCTATAACAACACACATTGTATGGTGTTAGGATTGATGATCTTTGTTGAAGTGGATTGTGGTCTAGATTCTCTGACGAATAACTAAGGAGTGCAGCTCATTTGCCAGTGCAGGATTCAGATGGCAAGCCTTCAAATCAAAGACAGTCAGTTAGATACATTCTAATCGTTTGGGTCTTTTTCCTTTTTAAGAATAGTATAGTACAGGGTCAGGGATTTAGCTCAGGGGCACCGTGCCTCCCTTGTAAGGGCAAGGTCCTGAGTTCAATCCCCAGTACCAAAAAACAAAGTACAGTACAGTGAATTTCAGGAAAGTTTCTTAATTAAGATTTTTTTTTCTGATTTCTTACTAGAAATAAGAGAATTTCAAACTTAACATATATGCAGAATAGATCATACTCGAATAATCATATTATTTAAAAGACATGATTTTTTTTTTTTTTTAATGGTACCGGGGATTGAACTCGGGTCCATTGCGCTTGCAAGGCAGGCCACCGAACCGCTGAGCTAAATCCCCGGCCCCAAGACGTGAAATTTTTATGAGAACCAAGAAGAAGGTATTTAAGCCCTGATGGTACCATTCATTATATGTTAAGAATTATATAAGTAAAATGGAAAGCATTAATATTTGGCCTCACTTGTTATTAATCTCTTACGTGACTAGCAGCATCTATAATAATCTTATTTTGGAATATATAGTTGTTATGCCTAAAATAAACAGTGATAAGGTGCATAACTTCTAGAAAGTCAAGAATATGGAAGAGAAGCTGGGTGTGGTGGAGTATGCCTGTAATCCCAGCACTCAGGAGGCTGAGGCAGGAGGCTGAGGCAGGAGGATCAGCTGATCTTATAGACCAGCCTGTCCAAACCCACACTTGTACAGAAACTTCTCTTTTGGTGTCTAGAACAGTTGGTCACTAGGTACAGTATTTGCTTGATTGCTTCTAGTGGCAGTAAGTTACTAACTTAGAAAACTTTTGTTCTCCAGTTTTATTAGAACATTCTTCCTTATAACAAGCTGAGGTTTCCTTCCATGTACTTTAGCATAACTGAGAGTTCCTAGGAGGATGTATAATACTTAGAAACCCTAAGTACAGTAATTGGCAAAGTCGTCCAGCCTGGCAGTAGCAGAGCTGAGAGGAGGTGTGGGTCTCATGGCCTTGGGTCCATGGATGACCATGTTATTGTCTTCCTTTTTTCCATAACACACCATCATTTTTTTTCCTTATTGAGTTTATTGGTACATTTTAGGTATAGTACAGTTACATTCATCATTGGGATCTTGTACCTTTACATGACGGGTCTTGGTTCTCATTTTTTCCCCTTGTCTCTGCCCTCCCTTCACCCCCTCCTCCCCTCCCCATTTACAAACACTTTATTTCCATTTTTTCATTTTGTCATATTTTTTTCTTTTCCCTTATACCCTTTCCCCTCCACTTCCCACTTTCCCTACACCTTTAGCCCTTTTCTTCCTATTTCACATGGTCAATTATGTCATTAGGATCTTATATACTGTTATAGTTTTTCACACCAGAGAAACTATTTGGTATTTACACATGTGTGACTTATTTATTTCACTTAGGAGTATATCCTCAATATGTATCCATTTTCCTACGAATGAGTCTAATTTCTCATTCTTTATGGCTGAGTAGTATTCCATTTTATAGAAAAACCACATCTTTATCCAGCCTCCAACTGATGGGCAAATGGGCTGTTTCCAAGTTTTAGCTATTACAAACTGCATAGCACACCATCATTACCCCTAATTTTGCTCCCTTGCCCACTGTTCCTTTTCTATTGGACACTATCTCTTCTGTGACTATCAGTCTGTCACTGTTGGGACTCCTTCGCTTTCTTTTGCTCCAAATGAAGCATTCTCTTATTTCTCTTCTTGTACCTCAAATGACATGATTATTCCAGTCCCTTGCTGCCTCTACTTTTTCCATGTTATCAATGTCCCAAAATATGCAATGGCCAAAGTGGATACTGTATTCTAAAGGTCATCTTACTGTGACAGAATAATGGGATTATTGCCTCCCATCATACAGAAAATAGTTCCAAAACTGCAGTCCATTTTGTTGCTTTTTCTGGATGTGTAACTACCACATTTCAGGATATTTTTTACCCAGAATTTTGTCTGCTAGGATTTATTTAGAATTTTTTTTTTTTTTTTTTTTTTTTTTTTTTTCTCGTACCGGGGATTGAACTTGGGTCTTTGCACTTGCAAGGCAGGCCACTGAACCGCTGAGCTAAATCCCCGGCCCTTATTTAGAATATTAAGGGTAGTATGGAAATTGATTTTAGAAATTGGTATACTGCAGAAAGTATTTGGAGTTTTTGAAAAAGTTAAGATGACTTTGCTTATTAGTCCTATCAACAGAACAGTGTGACAGTAAATATCCCAAAGGTCAATTGTACTTGGTTGTGTACTATGTTCCTATGTATTCATATAATTTTGGTACTTTGGAAATTTTAATTTCAAACAATACCTAAACCTGCCTGCACATTAGGGTCCTCTAGGGAGCTTCAGAATATGCGTGCTTGCACCTCAAGCTTAGGGCTTGTGATTTAGTTCTTCTAAATTGGGCCTAGGCTGTGGAATTCAAAGTGGTTTTAATACACAACAATCAAGTCAGGAATCACTGCTGTAATATCAGATTCTGGCAAAACCCTGAGAAAATTATTTCTTGCCTTGAACCCTTTGCTTAAGCTGAATAATTTGTGTGTTACACAAATTGCTTTATAACTTATATTATTATATACCTCTACTTTGAACTTATGATTTTGGTTTTTCTTTCTCATAGTTACTTTTATAATAATCCTCCAACCCATCCAGTGGCCTTTTAAGTTTTTGTTGTTTTGTTTTGTTTTGTTTTTTTGCTGTACTAGGAATTGAACCCAAGGCCTATGCCCTAAGTCATATGCCCAGCCCCTTTTTAAAAATTTTTAATTTTGATTGATTGATTGCTTGATTTTAAGACAGTCCTTAGATACTCCAGGCTGGCCTTGAAATTGCAGTTATCCTCCTGCCTCAGACTCCCAAGTGCTGGCATTATAGGAGTGTGCCACCACACTCTACTATTTTTTAAGACAGGGTCTCACTAAGCTGCCCGGGCTTAGCTTGAACTTGCAATCCTCTTGATTTAGCCTCCCAGAGAGTTGAGATTGCAGGTGTATGGCACTGTGACTAAGAGTTGCTCTCTTTTAGATACGAAATCCATTTGGGATTTGGAGTACCTACATGGATAGGAAAAGGTGGTAATTACTTGAAATACATGAATACTCCTCCTAAGTATGCTAGATGTAATACATTAAAAAAAACTTTAAAAGTTATATTTCATGAGGATACTAGAATGAAGATACAGGTACATACTATTTCTAAGCAAAAGACATGAACTTTTTGGCTTTGAAGTCTTGGTTATAGTTCTTGGGTTGTAGATGGCCACAGATCTAAAGAGACTAATTTCCATCAAAATAGGACTTTTTCTCATCTGAATGTGATTATGCTAATAAATTACCAGAGCTGTCTGCAAACCATCTGCATCCCCAACAGCCTCTTTGTAGACAGGTTATCTGTTTGGTAAGTAGTAAAATATAATAATCCATGAAGTTCAAACTTCAACTAAAAGCCCAATGATTTCTATTTGGATGAGTTGCTACTTAGCTCTAAAGCTTACTTTAGAATAATAGTGTTTAGCTGTTGCTTCATCTTTTGTGATGCCCAAGCCGAGCTGAAGACACCGTGCATAGTAGAAAGATGCCATGGCCACGCCTCTGTTGATGAACTCTGGGAGACAGTCTGTGACCTGGGCTATCATGGGAATGTCGTGAACCTCATCATAGTCAGCAATCCTTATAAGACATTAAATTGTGGAATTGAAAAGGACGTCAGTTGGAGTTTACATTTTTACAAAATGATGTGTCTGGAAATTGTCCTTGTGCTTAAAGTGATAACATCTTTACCCTTTGAGGACTAACTTTTATGCTGTGTGTAAAGGTTTCGGGGAACAAAACCAGCTAAGACCAGAGGAAGATGAAGAGGTTGCTTGACAGCTTCCCTGTCATACCTGTGAGGCCTAATATACATTAGACAACAAATATGTTATTTTTGAATAATATTAATATTTTCAGTTTACCATCATTTTGTGGGCTTAAACTGAATGAGAAAAACAGAGATATTTCTTTGGATCACATATTGAAACTTTAACTTTAAATCTGGCCAGTCACATTAGGACTAGAAAACATTTTAAGAAACTAGCACATCTATCTTCTTTAAAAATAGGCAATAAAAAAGAAGCTACTTTTTGTAACCTACACACAAACATGGAGAATTGTGTAAAATGCAGTGTGTGAACTCTGTTAAGCACAACATTAGGGGGAAGAGGAATGTGGGAAATGATGGGAAGTTCCAAAGATTTTAAAGAACTGCGTAAGTCTTAGTTTTGACTAGAATGGACACTTGCTTGGGAACCCTGGAGATCCCCCTTTGAAGTGGCTTGCTGCCAAGGAGAAGGAAGAAACAGCCCCTTCTTGCCTTCATCCTCTCAATTCCTGCCCCGCAGGTGCTGGGAGAAGGGACCAGGTATGGCTTTGCTAGCATATTGCTTACATATACTGTGGACAAGTAAGTACAGAAAGTATGTGGAGAAGTTTCACATAGTTTGTAAGATATTAGTGTCAATTTTTAACTACTATTTTATTACCATGAAACCGTATTTCCATTGTGTAGTAATAGAACTGCATGACTGAGGAGTAAACTGAGGCTGAATAGATGTTTCTGAAATGTCAGTGTATGTTGTATTTTATATACACTTTTATAATCCTGCTGTAAAAATATTTTCTTACAAAACAATTGGTGTTTTAAAAAGGAGACCTGCTTCAGCTAAGAGCACTGAAATTATGAAGATTAATTGTGCCATCCAATATGGTAACTATAAATCATATGTGGCTGTTCAGTTAAAATTAAGTTCAAAAGTTTAATCCTAAATTACATGAAACTCATGTTAAGCCTTCAATAGCCACCATTCTCAACATTAGCTGAAAGTTTAGTTGGACAGATCTAGCATGAAACACCTACTAGTTCTTGTAAATGCTTTCATCCAGTTTATTTAAATCTTATTGATGTAGTTTGAATGTGTCCCCTGCAAAACTCAAGTGTTGTTAGTGTGACAGTATTAAAAGGTGAGCGGGGGGCGCTGCTCCTTAGTGGATAGGGTCACAGCACTCCCTGCCCTTAGCACTCTGACTTGTGAGGTCACAGTGCCCCTCCCCTCCCAGGGGTGCAGCCCTCACCAGCCAAAGAAACTTGCACTTTCCAGTCTATGGAACGGTGAGAAATTTCCATTCATTACTTAGTCTGTGGTGTTCTGTTTTAACAACACAAAATGGACTAGGACAGTTACCTCTTGGAAAACGTAACACACTTTGTGAAGAACTTCATCTTATAATAATACTCCACGAGATTCCCTTGTGCGTAGATGTTCCCGCGCTCCGCAGCTTCCTTTAGGCATTGCAGGGCAGCTTCAGTATCCTGGCGGATGCCTTGTCCATAAAAGTACATCAGGCCAAGGGCACCCTGGGACTCCAGATTCCCATTGCCACATGCTTCTGAATGCCAATAGAATGCCTAACAAAGAGCACAATGAAATTACAAGGGAATATTCGAAAGAAAAAGCTCTAACGATAAGATGATGTAATAGGAATTGCCAGGAAATAGTTCCTGCCCCGAAAATGTTTCACACTGCACTGAATTGAATGTGTTAAGTCTGACAGTGCCAAGGTGGGTCCTGTGTTTACCCAAATGCGGGCAAGATCACAGGCAAGAGAGCTGGGGCACAGGAGAGTCAGCTTTGCGAGGTTTCAGGCTTCTCAAACGCTGCAGAGTAAGGACTGAGAAGGTACAGTAGGAGCTAAGTGAACACGTGGGGACAGCTGCACATGTGCAGCAGGGAAAAGAGCTACTGATACTGAGGGAAGAACAAGTGCTCTGGGGGATCCCAGATGTCACTACCAAGATCTAAGACACGGGAGGAAAGCTGCATGTAGGTCAAGCATATTATCTTAATGTTGAGCCATCAACTGCAGTGAGTTTTGAGTTTTACAGATTTTTTCCAAATCATTTCCAATTTCAGTTACTGAGAATAGTCTTAACTGTCATCTGCCTTTTACTAATTTGCCATTAACTCTTCTCTTGCAAGTAAGACTCAGTTCCACATTTCCTTCGCACTGTAGGAGTTTTGAAAAATATTCCAATCACTAAGATTATGTTTCAGTCAAAATCTCAAGGGGATTTAACTTTTAAATAATTCTTGGCATGTTTTATTCATTAGTACCACATATTCCTCAAATAAAAGGTAGTATTAGTTATTTATACTTAAAAGGAATTCACCTTAACTTTAGGACTATCCTTTTTTCATCTTTTATGCTATAATGCTTTGTAATTTTTTATTGTATACAAAATACTCTCACATCCATATGGTGTCCTTTGGGAGGGGTAGGGAAGGTAGTACCTATAGATAAGTAAAAGATGTAAAATAAACTAAACTACAAACTTTCTTTACATTTTTTATGGAAATATAAAAGATACTCAAAACTACTCTGTCTTTTCAAAAAACAGTGAAATATTAATCTAAATAATGCTAGCATTAAAAAGAAGAGAAGTGTTACCTTTTCTAGCTCTTTGGGTTCTTTTGTTGAATAATACAGTCCTAAGATACTTTGAGCCTTCACACTAGCTTTTGGATTTCCATTGTCTGCAGCAAAAAGCCACAGTCTAAAAGAGAAAGCAAGGTAACTTATTCTTTGTTTCTGCATTTCAGAAAAACAAAATCTTGTTTTCGGGAAAGTTACCTTTCAGCTTCCTCATCTGACCGTTTAACACCTTTTCCTTCATAATAAGCTCTCCCAAGGTTGAAGGCAGCAGCAAATTTTAAATGTCTTGCTTTAGGACATGAAGAATCAAGAATGCTCTTCATATAGTCAACTCCTTTTTCCTTCCACAAAGGAGACAAACCAACAAGAAACACCTTATTTTAAGTTTCATCCAAATTGAATTTATTTTTTCTAATAATGTATCATTTTATTTTTTGAGCTAAATGCATAATATCACATCGTGAATCTATGCTTAAAGGTTATGATTGTTCTGGATTCCTTGGGGTAAAGATAAGGAGGGAAAAAACTGAGTAAATGTATATTTGCTGACCAGGCATTTACAGGAGGAGCTCTGGGATAGGAGGATGTTCATTTTATAGCTTCCAGGGTTGTGTTAAGCCCCAGTAGGATGGGCTAGGGATTTAGCTCAGTGGTGCTGCTGCCTTCCTCACAAGTGCAAGGTCCTGAGTTAACCCACAGTACAAAAAAAAAGTCTCAATATGGGTTTCCTTTTTCTTCCTTCCATTTTGTACCCTTATCTTGAATCAGTACTTATCAAAATGAATCAAAACTTAAGAAAGTACCAGAATAACCAGTAACAGCTTGTTTCACATTTATAATCCTTACAGTACACTCATGATCCCCAGTGTATACTGTCTTCTCTTCCACTAAGTGTGCTCAGTGATAATGTACTTCAGTATACTAATCTTCATATGACTTCTACACAATCACAAAGAAAGCACAGAAGACATTCTAACCACTAGCAATAAATATTACATACTTTCCTTCAAAATCCATCAGGCACAAACTTTAAATATCACTCAAAATAAGATATATTGAATGATCAAATACATTTTTATATACTTAATTCTAGCCTTTACCCACTCCTCTCTTCAAATGCTACCTAAGGCTAAATACGATGATAATAGATGAGAAAATAAAGACATTTTAGCGATTCCTAGATTATTTTTCTAATTATATAAATTGAGCAGTTACCATTTTTTACTCCAGCACTATAGTAAAAAGGATTTCAAAGGAATGGGTTTTGAGTAAGATGGTTATATAAATCTTCCCATGGATAGCAATGATTAAATCTGGACAATATATAAACAAATTTTAAAGGCAGTGGAAGCTACAAAAAAAAAAAAAAGCAGAGATTACTCTTAATAATCACAAATAGAAAAAATCCATAAAAGTTCAGTAGGAGGGTACACACCAAAAAAACAAAACAGAGCCTGGGCCCCGATCCACCGTGGGAAGGAGAGACACCAGCCACCATCCATCCCGACCCAGCCACCATCGCTCAAGTGCCAGGAAGGTAATCCCCACCCCACTCCCATACCTCCTGACTGTGCCAGTCTTTGGACCCACTCTGTAGAGGCAGAGGTGGTCATCAAGAGTATTTTTCTGAGTTCCCAACTTTCAACATCTTTAAAGAAAGCGTGGGAAACTTGTAGTAGAACGGTGTGTTCAGCCGTTCAGAAGGCTGGGGAACTCAATTTGGGCCTTGCAGCCCGAGGTCAGTCAGCATCATGGGGTTCAGCCATCAGCTAACTGAGATCAGGGGTCTTGCATCCTCACTCTGTCTGAGCCATTAAATGGTAAATACACTATATTGAAATTTTGTTCACTGCAGACATGTTCTGGACTGCTTCTTGATTTCAATTTAATTCAAATGATTTAAGGGTGATAGACTAGTGACTACCACAGGTGGTCAGTGTCCAAGTTGTGCTTGATCTTAATGTGTTGCTGATTGTATCAGTTGGGATAAAGCATTGCAGTTGATTTGATGAGCTGTTTTCTCTGATGTTATGAAGATAATGTCTGTGGGTCATTAGAGACGCAGAAGCTAGGGCACAACTATATCAGGAAGATTTGGGTGATAACCCAGAGATTAAACCAAGGACAGTCCGACGACAAAAATAAAAATGAGAAAATACTTAAACAAGACACAAGGACAGACTTCCAGTTCACCAATGGCAAACAGTAGGGCAAATGAGGATGAAAA